GATCGACACGTTCAAACAAACAAACAAAGTCACAGTTACTACTGCGCGGTTTGATCCGCTTTACTGGGCTCCTATTCATTATAGCGTGATGTTTTATACCTTCCTCGATAAACGAACTATGCAACACAAAAAGAGTTATTTAAATTGGAACAGTAGTTCCTGAGATTAGAGCATTCAAACAAACACAGTCTTTAGCTTTATGTATTCGTATATATAGACTTTTAAATTTACTTTTAAATATTTGCAAACGACCCAATATCAATCAGTCTAGTTTGCAACATTCTACGTGATTATCATCACGCCAATATAGTATCTGTCACCTACGTTATTATAACGAACTTGTTACTGGTGCTGAAATGTGTATTAGAATATTCACTTGTCAAGATCTATTTGAACATGTTGATGACAGACTATTTTTTTTCTAAAAGTTTAGCTTCTTTTTCTTGTTGATTTTTGTCTCGTGTTCATTAATTAATATTAAGGTTTAATTTAATCATTCAATTTGTATTTTTATTGTTTAATAGAATTTCTTTGTGATTGACCATAAACAAACAGATAAAAATAAAACGGACTTGGATTCTCGAAATGTCAACTGATGACATCGAGAACGCGGGTTTGAAAAAATAGAACGGGCTTGAATTCTCGAAACGTCATTTGACGATTTCGAAATGGCGCGGTGGTCGAAAAGGCGGGAAAACAAATGGGATTTTGAACGGATGGCGTCATTTTGTTGGCGGGACCATTGACGAGAGGAGATGTAATATTTGTATCTTTGTTATAAATGTGCTTTGGAAGAAAATAATATTCTGTATTATCGATACCAAGTTGATTCCTTTATAATCTCCGTTTCTGGCCTTCGTATTCTGCAAGTTGTTGATGCTACAGTGGAGTTGCGTTTATACTCGTTATTTTTAACCGATTTCAAAAAGGAAAAAAGAAGTTCTCAATTTGACCTGTATGTATGTATGTTTGTGAAAACCTTCGGATAAAGAGTAGCCTATATGCTATTCTAGACCAAAATCTCCTCGGCATAATCGGGCTGAAGCCGATACGGAGTCGCGGAGGACTTAACGGTTTACCGGGGCTCCGGCTCGAAGTGCAGGAGTAGGAACGGGGTGGTTTTTAGTCAGTAAGAGTCTGACACTCCCTCCCGCCTCGCCCAGGCGAGAGAAGTCATTCGATGATTTTCCCCCCTTAAAAAAAGACCATAGGTAATCTAGCTCTTCCACATCCCGATCCCTTTAGCCGTCTAGACGTGATTGAGTGACAAACATATACACAAACTATCGCATTTATAATTAGTAGGTAAGATAATCTGAACTCAACAAATCCCAATATTATTGTTATCAATATAAAATTTTACGTGTTTAGTTAAAATTATTTAAAGATTCAAAGTAGATACGGATTGTATATCTAATAATATACATGTATATATATTTTAACTGCTGTAAAATTACGTGTAGGTATTTATATGTATATCAACTAGGTAATATATTAGTAGATAAATATTTGTTTAACATCTGTGAAACACTGATTTCCAGTCGCCGTCAGGTCAGTCACTTCGCGAAGGAATGAATGATATATATAAACAAAATTGAGTCATCCAGCTTTTTTGGTCTAACGAGACTATCTGAATGACTCATTCATATAAAAAAACTGTGTAAAACGTTTATAATATTATGTACAAACAAGATGGGTTATATGTTTGTTTGTTTTTTTTCTACATCAAATCATAATTAGGTACTTTTAAAATTAAATTATTTCGACTGTTCAATACAATAAATCATTAAAAAATAATCACACTTTTATTAATTGATTTTATGACCAACTTAATTTTAATATTTTCCAGCAACCTTTGAAGTAATAAGTATACTGTTTGACGCTAAAAAATCGTGACGTCACAATACACAATCTCGTACAAAATTCATAGAAAACTGTCGTTTTTGATACCCAATTACTACCCAATTTAGTTGAAAGACAAGTTAGTTACATAAGTTAGTGGTATAAGTTAGTTGATCGATTTGAAGTCAACTGCACGGTTGGTGCGGGGGCTGGGCAACCGGCTGCAACCCCTCTTTTTTGAAGTCAGTTAATTAACCTCTTATCTGCCGGCATATGATACACAATAGAAAACACATTGTGTCTCGGGTAAATCTACGCTCCCGGCATACCATGGGTTAATATAAACCTTCTTCTCAGTGTAAAAAACACTTTTTTGAAAACTGCATCAAAATTAGTTCAGGCAATGTCGAGATATTCGCACACAAAACATCAATATACATACATACGGGTCAAAATGAGACGATCTTCTTTAAGTCCCTTTAAAAAAAATTGAAATCGATATGAAATCTCATTAATTCGATCGGACAGCACATTTTTGTCATCCGGTTTGTGTTTTGCATGTTTTTTCGTTGAATCACTGGAAAATAATAGACACGATACGCTGGGATTTGGGTGGGTGCCAATGATCGGAGATTTTGATATTATACTGACGGCTTGTGAATGAATTCATGGAAACTGGTAATGGATCGAGTTGAAATTTGATCGGTCGGTAACTTATATTAAGTAGTTCAGTTATAAAACTTTATTATACTAGCTACTAGCCAGTGGTTTCGCCCGCCGAAATGTGTGTCAGTTGACTCGCATTTTTAATTCGAACTTGATACTTCTGCACGGTTTTACCCTCTCTACTCAGCTCCTCTTGCTGATAGCGTGATGTTTTAAAACCTATCGCCTTCCTGGATAAATGGACTATCCAACACAAAAATTATTATTTAAATCGGACCAGTAGTTCCGGAGATTACACCGTTCAAACAAACAAACTCTTCAGCTTAATATAATAAAAATATGAAGAAGATGTCAGATGTTAAATTAAAAGAAGACAAATACATCTATGAAAACCGCATTCGAATCTGATCAATAGTTTCTCTGTGATGCGTGCAAAAACATATAGACAGATGCCATATACCAGACTCCGTGCTATTACTAACAAATTATTGAAATATGGTAAAAACTACAATAGTTTTTAACCTCCGTGGCGTAAGAATCGAACCTCAGAACCCTGGCTTGGTAGTCACACATGCGATAGATTATAGATTCGACCAGCTACTAAGGGATAGGTAACAGCGTTTCCTAACTAAACCTTCAGTAACCTAACTAGTATTATCGTAACTGCAATGTCCAAGCTGACTCGAACCTAATAATTCTTTATCCTTTGACTCAACCCATGCACGGATGAGGGTTGGCGCGGTGGCTGCGCATGGGCAACTGGCTGCCGCAATCAATCACTGATCAAACCTCATCAAAGTTGGTTCAGCCAATCTCATATCATAAATCCATGTATATTTATTTTTTGAAGTCTGTTGGTCAAGAGATATAAATCACAAAATCATAATAAACGACATAATTACATTTTACGTTCATCATTTCCTCTCAAATAATTGCATTCAGATATTTCTTGCAATATTTTTCTCATGATTTGACTACATCGTTGAAAATTAGGAATGTTGGTACCTATATATAAAGTAAATTGAATTCAAAGCCACGATTTAAATGATTTACGATAGGTTTATGTATCATTTGGTTTAGTTAATATAATGGCTTAATTTATTATATGAAGTGTACTTTATTAATACTGTCGCATGTGGTTTGTGCGTCTTGTTGTGTATTTTCTACCTAAACTATGTCTATCTGTGACTATGACTATGTCGTGTGATTCTCACCTTTTTGGAAACCCGGCCAGGATTTCAGGATTCCATAAAAAAAATTGCGACAGCAACGCAACGACAGTACCTACCGCAAATCTAAACACGCCCGTCTCAAACATGGTGCCCACACAAGTATACATGGTGCCCACACATGTAGACATGGTGCCCACACAAGTACACATGGTGCCCACACAAGTATACATGGTGCCCACACATGTACACATGGTGCCCACACAAGTAGACATGGTGCCCACACATGTACACATGCACTCCTTTATCTGATGGGTTTGCTATGATCTCCACTCTCGGCAGGTAGGTTATAGATCTCAATTTTTTTACAATTTCAATGTCAGTTCTCCTCGTACAGTTTAGCAGTCGGTTTATCGTGGAGACTACAAATGCCTGATGTTTTTAGTTGTTGATACTTTTAAGTTAAGTATTTTGATTTTACATGTGTTCTGGACCGTCTAAGACTAAGCTGGGGACCTTGGGCCCCTTTTGGAATGTTTTTTTTTAATATTGCCCTACACTAGGATTTTCTCCTGCGTCGTGGGTGCATTTACCTACAAACATATAAGTTCATATACACAGTACACAGTCATGACATCCAGAACCTAAATAACAGTTTGTAGATCGCACAAAAATTTGCTCTGTACAGGAATCGAACCCGAGTTCTCCTATGGTAAAGGAACTCCTTGAATCTCCCTGAGGATACATATTATGATTGTTCCATACAAATATCAGAACACATAACATAACATCAGAGGTGTACATTATACCACAGTACAATGTAACACCCACTTTTCACTATTTATATTATGAGTCCCATGTAATAGGGGGTGACCCTATTGCCATATACCGGGCACAATCCCAGACTCCGTGCTACTACTGAGATTTAAAAACCCTGTAATATTTTGCCCGACCCGGGAATCGAACCCGAGACCCCTTGCCCGGCAGTCACACTTGCGACCACTCGGCCAACGAGGCAGTCAAATATTAGAACAATTTTATATTATACATTTTATAAAACCATAATAACTTTGATTACTTTCTTCGAATAAATTAGGAATTAATAAAAAGTTGTTATTATAATAATAGTTCTTTCTGTGAACACTTAAGGTGAAGTTCTTATAACATTAACGTATGTTAGCTTTTGACTTGAGCTTAAAATGAATACGCAACGCCTTAATGCGAACTGAAAATTACCCTTTAAACTTATAATTAACTTAATAATTTTACAATAAATGAGCCTTTACCTTTACAATTGGCACATTTCACACAAAGAAGTTCACAATGGAGTTTAATTTCGAGAAATCGCTTCAAATATTTCTAACGCCCATGAAAATTACACGCACCCATCCGAAAATGGACAAAAACTTCAAATGGTTCATTCAATACTGTATCTGTCATTTACCGTTCATACTTCATTATATTATTATAACCTACAATTCATATTTGAACGCGAAGAACAACAATTTCTCTGCAGCATGCAAAAATGGCATCATAAGCTTGACTTTTCTTGGTATATGGTTGAACAATATCATCATGCTGTGGCATAGGGACGCAATGAACAAACTCTTGGACTTGATGGAGAACGATTACAAAATGGCAGCTAAACTGTCAAAAGAAGAACAAGAAATCTTCAGGAGATATGACCAAAAGAAGACCCTCGTTTGCAAAGTCTGGTTGGTCGTGTACACAATGTCTTTTCTTCTATTCTGTGTCAAAGCTATTGTAATGATGATTTATTATCTCCTAATCGGAGAGCCGAAACTGGTGCATTTGTATGACCTGGTCTACCCAGATGCAATAGATAGAAGGAAGGGAGAATTCTTCGTGTTTATACTCATAACGTTCTTCACATTTTCTTACGGCATTTATGCTGGGCTGGTATACGTGAGCTTTCTCCCTTGTGGGCCTGTGCTCATGCTGCACGCGTGTGGACATTTGGAGATGGCTAAGAAACGAACGGAATCGCTCTTTGTTGGAAACCAAGAAGACATTAATGAAAAGTTGAAAGAAATTGTGTTAATTCTTCAGTATACTTACCAGTTAGTATTTTTCTATTCTTAAATGTATTGGCGATAGAATTTTTAGAAAAACGGCAATTACTTTATTTCTTCAAATCTTTGCGCGAGTCGTTGCGTGATGTTCTGTCTTCTTCGATAAATACACCAAAAAATAATTTCAACCAGTACTTTTCGGGACATAAGAAGTAGGCCTAGCTTCACTGACAGACAGACGGTCGAGCAATTCAATTTTTGAGGTTTTAAAAATGAGTAATTATGGATTAATTGAAATAAATGCTTTGACTATGACCTTGAAGACAGAGAAATAATTATACTCTGATCTTCAGGCACTAAGGAGTCCTTATAATACCTATCGTGCGACATACTAAATTAACTAAAATCGCGGGTTACTCACGTGAATATACTGAGAAAAGCTCTACTAGTTTCGAACCACAGAGGGGTTCTTCCTCATGAGCAGCGTGCGCGGTCACGACGACGTCACGCAGCTCACTCAACCGCTCACGGTGCTCTTTAAGAACCTCTCTGTGGTTCGAAACTAGTTGAGCTTTTCCCAGTATATTTACTAAGGAGTCCCATAGACCTTAAATTAAGATTCATCTTATTTACATATCATTGAAAAATCTTGTTCAACATTTACAGATTCGTTGGCATAGTGAACGATTGTTTCAAAGTATTTTACGAAGCTACATTAAAACTATCCGCCGTTTCACTACCAGTCACATTTTACGCATTACTTGAGGTAAGTGTCAAGGAATTAATTGTTAGTTTTTTTTTCTTTTTTTTTTCTTTTTTTTTCTTTTTATTAAAACGTTGCCCCACACTAGGATTTTCTCCTGTGTCGTGGGTGCGTTTACAAACGTACAAGTTCACATGCACAATGACACCCAGACCTGAAACAACAATTTGTGGATCACACAAAGTGTTGTCCCGTGCGGGAATCGAACCCGCGACACGTTGCACGGCAGCCGGTTGCCCAGCCACCGCACCAACCGTGCAGTCATGGTTTGAAAGTGTTACAAGTTCATAGGCCATAGTAATCACCTCATCAGGTGGGCCGTGTCCTTTCTTGCCATAGTCGTAGTATCCTCAGATTCAGATAAGAGAGACATCCTCAAAATCCCCATTCCCAAAATGCCGGTAACGCACTTGTAACACCTTGGTGTTCCGAGTGTCCATTGGCGGCGCCGATTGCTTACCATCAGGTGATCCGTCTGCTCGTTTACCAGCTTATGCTATTTAAAAAAAAAACGTGTCGCGGTTTCGATTTCCGCACGGAACAACACTTTGTGTGATCCACAAATTGTTGTTCCGGGTCTTGGTGTCATTGTGTATGTGAACTTGTATGTTTGTAAACGCACTCACGATGCAGGAGAAAATCCTACTATGGGGCAACGTTTAAAAAAAAATCCATTAATATACATAACTGATTGTTTTTTATATGTCACCTCAATTCATGTATAGGTTATACAAGAAACTGAGATTTCAAAAACTACAGCGTTGTATAGCATAAATGATGTGCAAGATCTACTGTTCGTTTGGCCCATTACAAAATAAAACAAACAGAGCTTTAGGGACATCAAGCTACTCTCACACGGTTGCACGTATCATTCGCTGTTCAGCTCCTATTAATCGTAGTGTGGTGTTTCATAGACTATAAGCCTATTTCAATACATATACTATCCAACACTAAAGTAATAGACTGCACAGTTGCTGCGGTTTCTGGGCAACCGACTGCCGCACAACCTGGGTTAGATTGCCGCAAGGAGCAACTCATTGTGTGATCCACAACTTATCATTTTGGGTCTGTTTGTGATGTGTATGTGAACTTGTATGTTCGTAAACGCACCAATGATACATGAGAAAATTCTAGTATGAGGCAAGGCTTAAAGAAAACAATAAAGAACCAGTAGTTTTGGAGATTACCGTACTCAGAAAATGAATGGACAAAACAAAGAGTATAAGGAGATTCACAAATTTATTTTAATATCTATCTAATGAATCTCTTCCAGGGTCTCCAACGTGGATTCCTAAGTTTGGAATTTTCCTCTTTTATCCTAAGTGGGATGGCTCTCAGCAGTGCCCCGTGCTACTTCAGCGATATGTTGTTGGCTAAGGTAATTCTGATCACCATTACCGTCTCTTCTAAAGTTGAGTTCCAGTTGCAGGACTATTTCTTTTAGTAACAACGAAATCACAAAAATATTGTTAACTTGTATATTGTTAACTTGTAAAAAAACTGTTAAGTAATTGCAAAGGGTATTTGAATTTCTAACATTTTTATTGGTCAAACACCTACTTATCTTGTATATAAAAATTAATCGCTAACTGTGTTGGGGTTCCGGCTCGACGTGCCGGAGAAGGAACTGGGTGGTTTTTAGTCAGTAAGAGTCTGACACTCCCTCCCTCCCGCCTCACCCAGGCGGGAGCAGTCATTCGATGATTTTCCCCCCTTAAAAAAATCTTGAGGACTGTTAAACCGATTTCTCTGATTCTTTTCTTGTTGAGTTTGTTATTGTTAGGAAGAGGTACGGTTTCGACCTTCAAACCTTCAAGAAAAGTTCTTCCTTTTTAAAAGGCCTGCAACGCACCTGTGACTACTTTGGTGTTGCGAGTATCCATGGGCAGCGCTGATCGCCTACCATTAGACGATCCATCCGGTGTAAAGTTCCTTGATCTTAAAAGAAAGGATCCTTTAGGCAATTTTAGGGAAATAATTTTAGGGATTTGATGAATCCTAATTACTTTAGACCTTGTCAGAATTTGGGGTTCCTGGTGTAAAGATCAATCAGAAATTCCAAAAAAAACAATAAGAATGATTCGTTGTTAGAAAGGAAATAGTATGTTTTTGATATTAAACTGTCAAACACCAAGCGGTCACCGGTGACCGCGACCTATTGTTCTTTAATTGTGTCTATAAAACCGGTACTCGACGAGTTAACTGGAAAATCTGCACTAGACTCATATTTCCAACAGATAGACCAATCGTATTATTTTTACGTTTAGTATTTATATTTTCGTTTAGTAGGTATATTCAACGTATTCTGGCTTAATAAATTAATTCCCAGGGAGAAGAAGTGCGACTAGCGCTGTACTCCTGCGGGTGGGAATGTGAGCACAACCGGCGCGTGCGCATCACTATACTGCTGCTACTCACGCGCTGCTCCCGACCGATAGCTGTGCAGACTATGTTCACTACTCTCTGTCTTGATAGGCTGTCAGATGTAAGTGAGTCTTATTATTCTCCGTGGGGGTAAGCAGAGGGTCATGTCATAACTGTGCATAGACGCTTTTCTTCCATTGGTGACATAAATTATCAATCCGATTATAAGTGTCGGATCTTCTGTATCAAATCGAGAACGAAAACAGCTACGTGCGTAAGCCGAAAACATCATAATTAATTTACTATTGTCGGAATACTGAAACGCTACTCAATTTTAAGTCGCGCTTAAGTATAGTTCTGTCTCCACAAATTCTTTGTAAAATGACACAGATGGCACGATATTTAAGCACGACTTAAAATTGAGTAACGTTTCAGTATTTCGGCATATGTCGAAAAGGTTCAATTCTCTGTACAATATGAAAAAATATTTTTCGGAACACCCAACAGTTCCTTGCTGTTAAACGTTTTAAATGTATTACGGTATTTATCACATGGAAGTGCCATGCTTCGGTTCGAATGGGCCGACTGGAGCGGAGTTATACCACGGCCTCACAGAAACCTGCCCAGAAACAACTCTTGTATTGTTTCATCGTATGAGTAGGTTTTAACGGAGGTTCAGTCCTCCCCATTGCCAATCGCCAATATCTAAAAGGTCGGTGACGTGCTCATAACTCCTCAGTTCTTGCGTGTGGTCCATGGGCAGTGTCGATTGCTTACCATCAGTTGAGGCTGCTCTATTCCAGAAAAAGTATGGCCTAATCCTTCAATCCTGCTTTCAGATGTTTCACCAAGCTTACACAATATTTAATCTCATGAACGCAGTGTGGACTTAAATGAAAGAAAGAAGATAGAAAGAAAAAGTATTTATTCGACAGTAGGCAGGCACGCACACAGATGCTAAAATAATACAAAATTAAAAAAGAAATGAAGATATAAATACAGATACTTATATTGATAATAACGAACAATAATGAATTTACCTATATTTACATCATGGATTTAGAATAACAATGGCGATGTTTTTAAACTCAATAAAAAATACAAAAACACTGGTAGTACTAAACCGATTCAAATGAAACTTTATTGTCTAGAATGTAGAAACCTTTATTGTTCTAACGGAATTATTATAAACTTTTTATCTTTGATTTTGCTGCACTAACCTTCTTCGTACAAGAAGAAGAAGAACTCTATCTACTATCTCACTGCTGTTTGCTTTAATAAATTCGTGTGACATTTATACTGTTTTATTTTACCTGTCATAGTTAGTTAGTTTTTTAGTAAGACTTGTAAGCATAGCTGATGGATAGGACCCTGTACAGAAAGTATCTGGTGAATTTTCTAACCATAGTTTCCTAAAACCTTGAGAAATTATCAGCTCATTTCAAATTATCAGTTACTCATACTTCAAATCGTCTAAACTAAATCCAATTTTCCATTGACCAAATTAGTCATCATCATTATCAACAGCCTATAAATACCCACTGCTGAGCAAAGCTTCTTCTCACACGGAGAAGGTTTGAGCATTAATCACCACGCCTGCTCAATGCGGGTTAGCGATTACAGACTTATAATTAGAAATTATAAGCCCAGGTTTCCTCACGATGTTTTCCTTCACTGTTTGTCAGTGGTGTCTAAATAATCTTAGAAAGTACATATAACTCGGAAAGAGTCACATTGGTAGGTACTTGCCGTTGGTAGGTTTCGAACCCGCACCGACGATGATGACACGACGACCAAATTAGTGGCTCAAAACAAATTAAGGGACCCCAGAGCTAATTTTGTGGGAAATTAGTTATATTATCATCGAAAGGAATACGTCAAGTAATAATAAGTCACACTGTATTTATATACGAAATAAAACACCAATTATTCAATATAGTTTCATTTACAACAAGAAGTATTTAAATGTTTTTTTATGGAATCGGACGCAAATGAGTAGATGGATTACATGGTAATTCACAACAACAGAGAAGTCACTGATGCGTTGCCGTCCTTTTGGGAAGGAGTACTCCGTTTTCCTAAATGGAGTTAAAGGTTTCCGGATACCGTCGATAATAGACGAGTAACATCATGCTTCCAAACAGTTCATAAAAACCGCTAGTAAAGTGAAAAGTACCTAAATTTTTGAAACGGAAGGAAAAATAATTTATTCGCCATTAGGTATGAAGTATGATGCACCAAATACACAGACACAAAATAATATTTTTTTTTATGGGATTAGCCAGTAAAAGAGGTAAACCTGATAATATGCAATCGGCGTCGCCTACGGACACCTAAAACACCAGAGGCATTACAAGTGCGTTACTGGCTATTTGGGATTAAGAATTTGGGGGTTGTTGGGGATTCAGGGATTGGGAAAGGAGGAGGGAGAGGTAATTGGGCCTCAGGTAACTTCACTCACGCGACGAAACACAACGCAAGCGTTGTTTCACGTCGGGCATCTGTTCGACCGTGGTATGAAGTATGATGCACCAAATACACAGACACAAAATAATATATTTTTTTTATGGGATTAGCCAGTAAATGAGGTAAACCTGATAATATGCAATCGGCGTCGCCTACAGACACCTAAAACACCAGAGACATTACAAGTGCGTTACTGGCTATTTGGGATTAAGAATTTGGGGGTTGTTGGGGATTCAGGGATTGGGAAAGGAGGAGGGAGAGGTAATTGGGCCTCAGGTAACTTCACTCACGCGACGAAACACAACGCAAGCGTTGTTTCACGTCGGGCATCTGTTCGACCGTGGTATGAAGTATGATGCACCAAATACACAGACACAAAATAATATATTTTTTTTATGGGATTAGCCAGTAAATGAGGTAAACCTGATAATATGCAATCGGCGTCGCCTACAGACACCTAAAACACCAGAGACATTACAAGTGCGTTACTGGCTATTTGGGATTAAGAATTTGGGGGTTGTTGGGGATTCAGGGATTGGGAAAGGAGGAGGGAGAGGTAATTGGGCCTCAGGTAACTTCACTCACGCGACGAAACACAACGCAAGCGTTGTTTCACGTCGGGCATCTGTTCGACCGTGGCATCACTCCGGTCGAGCCGGCCCATTCGTACCGAAGCATGGCTCTTCCACACTTAAAAAAAACAAAGTGGCTATATTTTTAGTAGTGTCAGTTTATTACATACAATTTAAAATTATAATCAGAAAATTATGTTCTAATTGATTAGTAAAAGAGTATTATTAAATACTAGCGACCCACCCTGGCTTTGCACGGGTGCAATATGCATGTATTAAAAAATCTGTTGCGTAGTTTTAAAGATCTAAGCACAAATAGGGGCAGACGGACGACGGATAGCGACTTTGTTTTATACTATGTAGTGATGATTAAACTGAGCTCAATTTTAAAACTAGGATTTGTTTTCTATGTAATAAATTGTAATAATAATGATAATTTGATAGGTACAGAAGGCAGTTCTCCTAGAAACGGCACGTATCGTGAGGAGGTTTCTGCCTCTGGAGCCCTAACCACCGGTAGCTTGGACCATGCTCCCGCTACTAGTCGGCTCCTATTTTTATATATATATTTTTGTAATTATTATTCCAAAATGTAATTTTAGAGGATTTTAAATAATATATGGAGTAATAATAAAACAGAAGTCTCTTTAGCACGGTGGTTAGTTCCATACAGCATTCATCAGGTTTAAGATAGTGTAGGCCTGCTGAAACATCTGAAAAACAAAACAGAAACCTTTTTAGAAATAGAATATTAAATAAATAATATTTGGTCACGTATTATTACGTTGGCCGAGCGAAGTCCGCACATTTCGCTCAATGCTGCTAATGAATATGAACCCCCAGCGTAGCTTGTAACTAGTCGGGATACCTCAAACAGTTACGTGTTACATTAAACGTAATGAAATAATTTTATTTATTTATTAGTTGCATGAAGGGTGAATTGGTGCTTGGTATGGATTAAGATCTAATTAAAAATTAAGATTAGGTTATCGCACACGTAAACATCACGGACACGGCACGGCTGCTGCGTTTTATGCGTTGCTAACAATACAAAGCTGCTGTAAGCGCTCTGTCAGCACACAGATCGCGCGCTTACAGCCTTTTTACATTGACGTTAAGAAATCTTATCTTATACTCTTATACTATTATATAAAGCTGAAGAGTTTGTTTTTTTGTTTGTTTGTTTGTTTGAACGCGCTAATCTCCGTAACTACAAGTCTGATTTGAATAATTCTTTTTGTGTTGGATAGCGCATTTATCGAGGATGGCTACAGGCTATAAAACATCACGCTATGACTAATAGGAGCTGAGCAGAGCGTGTGAAACCGCGTGGAAGTAGCTAGTATATCATACGCCAGAAAATTTAATGTTCAAATTTAAATGACAAGTTTTATTAATCAAAAAGAAGGTTCTTCTGTCTACGAATTTATAGAAAACTGAGAGAAAGAAAGAAAGAAAAACTATTTATTACACCACGACACACAACAAGAATTTAGGTACACACAAAAAAGCCTATGGTGCGTCGCAGCGCAAAAGGCTGGAGCTCAGCTTAATACCGTGGACCGGGCACAGAGGCTCGAGCCCACGGCACTGATGTTCAGCACCAGCCCGTAGTAATACGAGGAGCACAGCATGATATAAATAATAAACATAACATAACATCACGCCTTTTATCCTCGAAGGGGTAGGCAGAGGTGCACATTATACCACTGTACAATGTAACACCCACTTTTCAATATTTATGTTATGAGTCTCATGTAATAGGGGGTGAGCCTATTGCTATATACCGGGCACAGTTCCAGACTCCGTGCTACTACTGAGAATTTTTAAAAACCCAGTAATACTTTGCCCGACCCGGTAATCGAACCCGAGACCCATTACCCGGCAGTCGCAATTGCGACCATTCGGCCAACTGGCAGTATAAATAATAAAATTAATATAAAAGTGGAAACGAAATCGATTATCAGAGATTATGCAAACTTACATCAGTAACAGCGTATAGACAGAGTGTAGTGAACATAGTCTGCATGGCTATAGGTCGGGAACAGCGCGTGAGTAGCAGCAGTATATTGATGCGCACACGCCGGTTGTACTCACACTCCCATCCGCACGAGTATAGCGCTAGTCGCACTTCTTCTCCCTAGAAGAGATAATTATTATGTTCACTATGCAGTAAATTAATTCATCTTTCTCATTTTTAGTCTTTTCAATTTACACGTCCATTACTTTTGGTGACCAGAAAAAAGCGGATATTTTTGCAAAGTTTCTGATAAGTGACTTTAACAACGCCTTCGCACTAGCGTTTATTTGTAGCGTCCGATAAACGTCAAGTACCGGCAGACTGCGACGTTAACGCCGCGTATTCTTTTACCCTTGCAATGACGTGACATAAACGTATGCGTACGCGCGGCGCATACGTTTATCGAACGCGTACGTTGGACAAACGCTATTGTGAAGGCGCTCTAAGCCCGTAAAATTATATCACATCAAATAATATACCTTTTCCAATAATTTATCACTTAGGTAGCAAGGTATACTGGTCAGCATTATGGCATTTAATACAAACATCGTGAATTCCAAACTAAATTCTCCATGTCGAAGACCCTGAAATGTTTAAAAGTAATAGTTAGACAAACTGACTGACGTATTCACAGACATATAATGAATTAGCTTTTACTCAGAGCTTTGCCCGCGTATCTCTATTTTATCCCAAGGGAACATTTAATCGGGATATAAACATCCTATCACCTAAGTCACCCCATACCCTGCCTGTATAACAAATTTCATTCAAAATCCGTTTGGTACATACATAACATCACGCCTTTTGTCCTCGAAGGGTTAGGCAGAGGCACACATTATACCACTGTACAATGTAACACCCACTTTTCACTATTTATGTTATGAGTCCCATGTAATAGGGGGTGAGCCTATTGCCATATACCGGGCACAGTTCCAGACTCCGTGCTACTACTGAGAATTTTTTAAAAACCCAGTAATACTTTGCCCGACCCGGGAATCGAACCCGAGACCCTTTACCCGGCAGTCGCAATTGCGACCACTCGGCCAACGAGGCAGTTTCCGTTTAGTACTTTCAGCGTTATTAACGGACAGACATCTAAACAAAGAAACTTTCACATTTGTAATATTAGTGTGATAGTGTGATATGGGAATACTGAAAATCTTTTACCAAGGACTGAGTTAAATAAACATTAAAACACAGAGTGCTGTGGAGAGATTTGAATGGTAATGATATGCACAGATCATGTAAACTAAAGCAAAATTACATAAGTACTAGCTTTTACGCTCGCGTCACAAAAGGATAAAAAGTAGCCTATGTGACATATACCAATACACACAGCGCCATCTATACCAATAATTTCGTTTTTCCTCGAGAATATCAATTTTTTCCAGGATAAAAAGTACCCTATTATTTAATCCAGACTTCTAACTTCACGTCTGCAAAAATCCAAAGCAAACGGTTTAGTAGTTACGGCGTAAAAGTGGAACAAACAAACAAACTCACTTTCCGATTTATAATATTAGTAAGGATTACTTAGGAATGTGTTTTTTTATGCAAATACCGTTTATCTTAGGTTGTTTATATTGTTAACGACATTAATGTATATATTTGCAAAACCTCATTTTATAAATTTTAGATTTTGAGATTAATTCATGATAGCACAAATTTAAACCTTAGTCGTTTTAGGTTGCTATTTGAAATGGATAATAAAAAAGGTCTGAATGAAATAATTTAAGTTTGACTATTGGCCATACTTACCTCTAATAAAGCGTACAAAGTAAACGGAATAGCGATGGCTGACAGTTTCAGTGTGGCATCGTAAAATAGTCGGAAACATCCATTTGTGTTCTCCATAAACCTGTAATAAATTAAATAAGTTTAATTATTTTTGAGGATAATAATTGAGGCTAGAAACAAAGTCAATATCATAGTTACTAATGAAGTACATACGGTGCTCGTGTGGATTTTATTAACTTACTACAACCGTCATCTCCTCTTATATAAAAATTGAAACTAGCATTTAAGAATAGAATAACTAACTTGTAAGTATACTGAAGTAACTGCGCAATGTTTTTTAATTTTTCATTTACGTATCTTCGATCACCGGTGAACAAGGAATCGATTCTCTTTCTAGCTATTTCCAGATGACCACAAGCGTGAAGCATGCAGATCGTCCCATATGGCACAAAACTTGCAAACCCAAGACCAGAAAGAAGACCATATAAAAAAACGATACAAAATATAAACAAATATATGACCAATTCTCCCTTTCTTTTCTCAATGAAATCTGGATAAGTAAGTTCGTATAAATGCACCAATCTAAACTCGCCAATAAAATAGTAATAAATCATCAAAACGACAGCCTTGGCAACGAATAAAAATAAAGAGACGGTGAAAAGATGAAACCATATCTTGCACATCAAACACTTCTTGCGATCGTAATCTTCGAAGATCAGCTGTTCTTCCCGCGGCAATTGAGCGGCCATCTTGTAATCATGTCTTATCGTCTCCAAGAGTGCTCTCAGTGAACTTCTATGCCAGAACGAAAGGATGTTATTCATACAGCAACCGTAATACGTAAGACTTAAGGTTATATTTCGGCAAGCTTCGAAGAAAACACGATTTGTTATACTTATATATGTGTTGTAGGTGATAACAATTGCTAGAGCAGTTAAAGTTAAGAAGCCCAATAAGTAACGGATCAACCATTTGAATGTAATAGGAATTTCTGGACTTGTTAATGTCAGTCTCATGGGGACGAGGAACAATTTTAAAGTTTTCTCGAATTGGTCAGCCATATTGACCAGTGTCTTGATGAGAGTCTGACTGATGTGTCGCCCTTAGTTGAAGATTATTCATCATTTTTATAGAGCTGGGTAATTATCCATGACGTGGTTATTAAGTGGAATACTGCCTTCATGGTTTAATTTAATAGGTATAATTATAACTGCCTCTTTGGCCGAGTGGTCGTAAGGTCGACTGCCGGGCAAGGGGTCTCGGGTTCGATTCCCGGGTCGGGCAAAGTATTACTGGGTTTTTAAATATTCTCAGTAGTAGCACGGAGTCTGGAATTGTGCCCGGTATATGGCAATAGGCTCACCCCCTATTACATGGGACTCATAACATAAATAGTGAAAAGTGGGTGTTACATTTCACAGTGGTATAATGTGCACCTCTGCCTACCCTTTCGAGGATAAAAGGCGTGATGTTATGTATAATTATAATTTATATGTATCCGACTTACAGCTGGATCTAAATACGAATTATCTGGTATGGTCTCTCCATAGAACTATTTATTTTATGGGATAAGCTGGTAAACGAGCAGACGGATTACCTGATGCTAAGCAATCTGCCTGGACTATATACCTGGAACACTAGAGGTGTTACAAATGCGTTACCGTCCTTTTGGGGATTAGGAATTTGAGGATTGTTGGGGATTCAGGGATTGGGCAGATTGGTAAAGGTCCCGGGGTAATTAGGCCTCCGATAACCTCACTCACTTACATAACGAAACTTAACGCAAGAATTTTTTCACGCCGGTTTTCTACTCGGCCGTGGTATCACTCCGGTCGAACCGGCCCATTTTTGCCCAAGCGTGGCTCTCCCACACTAAAGCCAAAATTCGATATTAATTCACAGATTAATGTTTCATGAAATTTTGATGAGATGAAAATAAACACATGTCAGTTGGTCCCTAAGAGGAAAATCAGCTGTAATGTTATGTCTATCCAAAACGAAATGAGCTTCATTACGTAATTTTGCTCTGCAACTATTTTTGAATGCGTCGTAATAATTTTAAGAATGTACCGACTTGTTCCGTTAGGATCGCATTCCTTGCGTTCTGATAGGATTTACTGTATGTTTGTTTTCACACTTTGTATTACGAAACTGACTGAGATAAACTGCTAATCGTGAAAAAGTGCCGTTTGATACATTTCTTTACATTTCGTAGAAATCTTGACCTAATGGTTTTATTTTTAAATCGGATGTAGGTATGTAACGCTCACTATCTCGTTGTTCGTGTGAGTTTCTAGTAAAGATGGCTCAGGTTTGATTTGCGAATATTTTTTTTGAAGTTTTTTTTTTCTTGTATTTGGTTACCTAGCATATACTGTATTATTTTTATGTCTTGGCAATAACGTCGCCACCAAATAAATGTTTCTTTCTGTATATTCGATTATTGATATTCTTGAAATGTTCTCCTTCTTCTATCTGATGGTGAGCAGTTGGCGCCGTTCATGGCCAATTGCTACACCAAAGTAGGTAGCAGTTGCAGTGAGACGTACAACTAGGTTAATGACCTTTCTCAGAGACTAATTCCCAAGGAATTTGAGGCATTAGGAATGGGGATGGAAGTAAGGATTGAGTCTCCGGTATCCTTATTCGTTACTTATGTCGGTTATCATTGTTTTCCGCCGCGTCATTTTAACTTGTGGCAACACATATTGAATCTTCGACGACTGATTGACAGATGCCGTGTTAAAATCATAGAGACCTTTTCTGATCTTAAGGATCCTTAATTTCTGTTCCTTAGAACTGAAAATTCATCATTTTGACCAATTTCGTTATGAATGAGTTTACCACTCGTACCAAAAGCAACGTATCGACTTATCGAGATGATCTCCGGCCACCGTAAGCACGGGCCTGAGGACGGCGAGCACGGGTAGCTCGTCGCCCGACCAGAGGCTTAGTACGAGTTTGATTTATGTTTAAAGTATTCGAAACGACTACGCGTTCGGCACTCTGATTGGCCGGCGCCAATGAAGCAACCAATCAGAGCGCCGAACGCGTACTCGTTACGATTACTTTAAACGTAAAAGAAATTCGTACTAAGACCTCAGAACTAGACCCTAGCGTACGGCGCGTGTCGCGGAGAACCTAACGGGTAACCGGGGCTCCGGCTCGACGTGCAGGAGAAGGAACGGGGTGGTTTTTAGTCAGTAAGAGTCTGACACTCATTCGATTATTTTCCCCCCTTAAAAAAAAAGCGTACGGCGCGTCGCATTCCGCATGCGCCTCAATGAGCCATCACACCACCACAGACAGGGCCTTAACAGGGAGAACTTAACAGGTTACCTGGGCTCGAAGTGCAGATGTAGGAACGGGGTGGTTTTTAGTCAGTAAGAGTCTGACACTACCTCCCGCCTCACCCGGGCGGGAGAAGCAATTCGATGATTATCCCTCATTAAAAAAAACGTATCAACTTTTCGCTTCGCCTTATTAGTTCACCTAACAACTGATATCTATTATTATATGCAAGTAATTACTCTACCTTAGTATTAATTGTTTAATTAGTACGTAGTCTAGTTAATTGATAAAATGATTTGCAATAAAATTAATTGCTTTTCTTGTTCTCGATGTCATATGTTACACTTCAGTAGTTATTACCAACCTTAGTTTATAATATAATTCTAGAATTTCTTTTATATTATAATGGCTTCTTTTATAGTATTAGTCAGAAAGAACGAATTGTTTTGAGTGGTATTTAATAGTTTAACTATAAATTTTCTTTTTTCAATCAAAATATTCGTATTTACCACCAAAAATACTAAATTGCTCACTAAATTTGCTCATCAAGTAAATCAATTATACTATCTAATAATTCATAACCTAACCTATTATGGAAATTCCGTTACAATATTGAACAATTTGTGTGCAAATCAGTATTTTTGTTTTACGATGTATGTAATATGTTTTTGTAATATGCAGTTAATTTGTAGTACAGTAATTTTTTTGATATGCAGTAGGTTATTAGTGGAGAAATTTGGTTTGCTTAAATGTTTAAATAGAGGTCAGTAAAATATTGCCCAATTTTTTTTATAAGAGTTTCTTCCTCGTTCTAGAATCTACATTTTCTAACAAACACCTAGCTCCACTGACGGACAGACTGACAGACTATTATTTATTTTGTAATTGTTATCGTTTCAAGAGTACCAAATTATGGTTTAATTGAAATAAATGCTCTAACGTTGACTTTGCAAAATGTATGAATAATATTTAGGTATATTATTTTCACCTACAAAAGCACCTCTTAACTAAATGTTACTAAACTAGCCCCTTACTTGTACTGTTAGGTGTCACTTACAGGTTGGTGTAAACCATAATGTCACCTATCTTAATTTATGGGTCCCTTAAAATTCAGGAGAGGTTGGTGAAGAAGGACATTAGTATCTATGCTTTTTTTAAGGGGGGAAAAATGACTTCTCCCGCCTGGGTGAGGCGGCAAGGAGTGTCAGACTCTTACTGACTAAAAACCACCTCGTTCCTACTCCTGCACTTTGAGCCGGAGTCCCGGTAACCCGTTAAGTTCTCCGCGGCAGTACCTATGCTTTTTTGTTTAATAATATTTCGGGAGAAGGATTTATATGTAGGAAGACAACAATCAAACAAATATGGCAAGCTAAGTAAAACCGTTTAATAAATACAATTTGAAACAACATTAAGCTAAAATCACACATAGCATAACATCACGCTTTTTATTCCCGAAGGGGTAGGCAGAGGTGAACATTATGGCACTTAATGCCACTGTACAATGTAACACACACTTCTTACTATTTATGTTATAAGTTCCATAATAGGGTTGAGCCTATTGCCATATACAGGGTACAATTCCAGTCTCCGTGCTACTAATGAAAATTTTAAAATTACATCACAATATGTAATACTAGTACTACTGGTATAGTAAGTACTTTAAATATTAAATTAAAATAAATATGGCAGATATTTAATAAAATAAACAAACTAAATCAAAATGTGATTAAAATATCACTAAAAACTGAAATATGTACACCTTAAAACTTAATTTAAGAACAACATTGTATACAGCTAAGTATTTAATGTTTTTTATATTAGATGGGCCGACGTTTGACCACTATCTCGCCTGGTGGTAAGCGATGATAAGGTCTACGGAGCACGTCGTCCCTTAAGCTACCTATGCACTCAGCCTTGAAGACACCCTTCAGGAAATACAAATGTTGATGTAAATAATGTCATGCAAGCTAAATATGTTTAGTCAAAGGTCAAAAGTCCACTGCCACCGTGAGTGATGTTCACACGGTAATGCGTAAGTAATTTCATATTAATGTGCATAAAAACGCGTGCGTACGCATAAAGACACGCACACGGATAAAAATATGCGTGTGCATGTGTGTATAGTCTTACGGTGGCAGTGGACCTTTGACCGTACATGGTTTCAGCTAAATGTGTGAAGATATTAAAACTTTAGTGACACGTCCTAAATGAAGTTACGAGAGTACATAATAATTGGGTAGTTTCCAAGGTATCAAAATTAAAAATCTAATTAGTCCGTCAGTTATATAATGAAAAAATATTAGACACGTATTTTTTATTTTTTCGTATTAAGTTGGCATACTTAAATAAAATGGCGCTAAGCTTAGGAGCTACGTCATAACGTGCTATAAAATGTGGCACGCTGTGACGTCACACAATATTTCAAATTAATACATCGTCGAAAATATTTAATTTTGTGAGAAAAGAAAAAATACGTGTCTAAAGTATCAAATTAATGTACCAGACGGGCATTATAATACAATTGAGGAAACTCCTCTTACTACTTATTAAAATATATCAAGATTTCACTTCACACTCATACGTTCATACACTGCAAGTTACATGAAAATTGTGTAATTTAAGCTATTTCTGCTGCCTCTGGAGAAAGCCTCAAGCGGCGCAAGTATAACAACCTTGCTGGTAGTTATATCTTTGAGCCGTTTGGGGTTGAGACGCTAGGTCCGTGGGGTCCGAGTGCGCTTAAATTGTTCAAAAACATGTCTTATTGTCGGTCAGAGGTTAAGCATTGCCATACAACGTGGCAATGCTGCCAGCTTTGTGGGTACTTTCCCCACTGACGTCGATGCGGACGAATTTTTCGATGCTTTATGTAAATAGTTGTTTTTGTTTTTCTTAGAAGCTAATCAATTCTTATGAGCCCCTAAATCCATTCTAATTCCACATGGCATTCATCAGGTTGAAGATACCATAAGACTGTTGAAACAACTGAAACAAAAGTTGAATGTTTGTAGAGTATTTGTATACGCACTTTTTTATAGCCTAAGGGGTAGGCAGAGGTGAATAAAATGTTCGTACACTATTCACTAGTTATTTTATTAAATAAGGTAAAGCAAAAGTCAAAGTCAAAGCATTTATTTCAATGAATCCTTAATTAGGTACTTTTGAAACGTCAAATTGAATGGGTAACTTGGTAACTGCCCACGTTGCGTCATTTGACGAATGCATACATCCTTCACAAACTCTGTCCTTCCCAAACAATAGGCGGTCTACAAATGACAAATACAACTTTAAATACGCCTATCGATTTTGACGAACGCATGCATTCGTCAAATGACCCAACATGGATGCGCTTTAGATTTTTTATAAGCACTTCGGGAATACATGTTAACCCCTCGAGCGTCCTTATGAGCACCCGGTGGATCACAAGAAAAAATGCTCCATGCTGCTTTCTCTTTTATAAAATCTATTATTAATGTTTTGTTTTTATTTTGACTGTATTTTTTATTTCTATTGTAATGATCCTTGTTTTCATGTGGCAATGGCCAAATAAATGCATTTTCTTTATTTCTTTCTCCAAATGTCACGTGTGCACCCGTTGGATCATATGGAACTCGGAAGCTCGACGGGTTAAACACCCATTGCTAATACGGTGATAGACATAATCATGTAGGTACTTACGTCAGTTAGGGCATCCAAGCATAAAGTTCTGAATAAAGTCTGTATAGCAATAGGTCTGAGTGCCCGTAGCAGCATCAACTGCAGCGTGGTGCGCGTGCGCCGATCGTGATGCTGCTCCCACCCACACATGTACAAGGACAAGCGTACAGCTTCACCCTGTATTATAAAGACAGAGATTATTTAGACACTACTGACATAAGGTGAAGAAAAACACCGCGAGTAAACCCGGAAATCGCCAAACCGCTTTGAACAAGGGTATTGCTCATACCTTCTCCTTGTGAGAAGAGGCTTTTACTCAGTAGTGGGCACTTGTCTTATAGGCTGTTGATGGTATTGAATTTAATACAGGGGTTCCCAACCTTTTCTCGGTCAAGGACCACTTTACATTATTCTTCTTAGGTTAAAGACTTACATAACAACATAACATCACGCCTTTTATCCCCGAAGGGGTAGGCAGAGGTGCACATAGAAGTAACACCCACTTTTCACTATTTATGTTATGAGTCCCATGTAATAGGGGGTGAGCCCATTGCCATATACCGGGCACATTTCCACATACTTACTTTGTTTATAATCTACATAAATGACTTGCCATTGGTAACACAATATCCAGTCTCACTGTTTGCTGATGACAATATCGGTATTTTTGGGGTGACCACATAATTTGTTGACTGAATTATTAATAAACTATTAACCTGCAATTGCGAAACTTTGACTACTATATGTTGTCTATTTATATTATCTCATGATTTGTTTTACATTTAACTTGAATGACTGAAAAAATTGTATTCAAAATTTATTTTTGATCTTGACATTTAAGAAATTTAGACATATTAATTGTTTGACCTATTTTGACCCACTACCTAAGTGAAATTTTTAAATACATATTTGCAGTAGGTACATATTGTTTAATTACTACCTATTATTATTTTCTTTTTGACATTTCTAATTATTATCTATTTACTTATAATAAATCTGTAGAGAGGTCAATTCTGTACATAAAAGATATTTAAAAAATAACTATCAAGGGGTGGTTGGGGATCGCTACTAATGCCAAAAATGCAATCAGTAAAATTTTTGTCTGTCTGTCTGTCTGTCTGTATGTTCGTTATGGAAACAAAAACTACTCGACGGCTTTTAACGAAATTTGGCACAATTATTCTTCATACTCTTGGGCAGGTTATAGTATACTTTTCATTACGCTACGATCAATAGGAGCAGAGCAGTGAAGGAAATATTGGGAAAACGGGAGAAGTTACTCCATTTTTTAAGCTTCCGTCGCGTTTGCAGGCTTATAGGATAAAGCTACATAGAAATCATGTATGACGGAAATATTCTATTTAAAATTATATAAAAAATATTCCTGGAGAGCATATGTCTGTCTTTTATGGTTGACTCACAATAACACGTGAAACTCGCGATAGCCAAGCAACTCGATGATTTCTGATTGTATTTGTCTACTCTAACGTTTACAATACTCATTCATAGACTTTACGCTGTAACTGAAAGGCCAATGGTTGATTTTAGCTTGACTTGATGTTGATTTGAGCTTATTATAAATGAAAATATGTGAGTTTATGTGTATGTTTGTTACTCAGTCATATTAAACCGGCTGAAGGGACCAGAATGAAATTCGGAACAGAGGTAGATTATGGTCTGAAGTGATACATAGGCATTTTACCCCTGGAATCGCGGGCGAAGCCGCTGGCAGAAGCTAGTCAAGAATAATACCTTATCTAGATGTAATTCGATCAAAGTACATGATATTTTTTCTTAATTTTGAAATTGATTGTTAAATTTATATATCATCATTATTCATGTTTTCCTCAAGACATACTTCTGCCTAGTTATCACCAAGCCTAGTGCTCACCACAATTTGTACGCATCTGGGTTGCTATACCCAGATGCGTACAAATTGTGGACTAGCGCTCTCTTTTATAACCATATAAACTAACAACTAATTTATGTAAAAGTATTTACGATATCTTACACGTCTTCAGCAGTAGTGCGGCTTTGGTAACCCTCCCCACCCAGAAGGGCACCCACAACCGCCTCGTCTCTATTCTTGATTGCCATGATTAGTGTGTGTTATATCGAATGTGTACTCAGACTCACCCTTTCGTTTCACCAAAAGCTTGTTATTACAAATTCAAATGTCTCCTTACCTTCTCCATAAGCAAGTCGCTGTAGTAGCACGGAGAAGCACATAACATTATCCCTCCTATTATAAAACAGATGAACTCCATGCTTACTTCTCCGTTTTTTGCAGCCTGAAAAATATTATTCAATGACGTCACTTTTTGCTGGGATGTTACAGTGGCTATGCTACAAGGTGCTGCGTATATAGATCGATGTGAACTCGATCGCGATCCACTATGTCATTGTCTTTATAATAACTATCGTGAGACATACTTATACCTACACGACTGCACGGTTGATGCGGTGGCTGGGCTACCGGCTGCCGTGCAACGTGTCGCGGGTTCGATGCCCGCACGGAACAACACTTTGTGTGATCCACAAATTGTTGTTTCGGGTCTGGGTGTGATGTGTATGTGAACTTGTATGTTTGTAAACGCACCCACGACACAGGAGAAAATCCTAATGTGAGAAAAAATCACTTCTTTTTTTATTTTTTTAATGGGGGGAAATCGTCATGGTCTCCTTTCCCCAGGCGAAAGGCGGAGGGGTGTGCCGGACTCTTATCGGCTAAAACCACCCCAGTGTCACCTTGCACGTGCGCGCGGGGTCGCGGGAGTCTAAATTCATCCGCAGCCCCGCATTACAGTGCCGGCCCGTCAGTCCGGGCCGTGTCTCCTGCACGTAGCAATGTGTAACCACGTGCATCGCTTCAAAGGCGCGCGCCGACACCCGCGCGCGCCTTCGACTCGGGTTTATCGAATCGGGGGCGGGGACTTCCCCAAGTCATTCGCCCCTGGGCCCATTCATGGTGGCCGGAAGAGGGCGTTGTCGGCCCTTTCCTGCACCCTGTGCGCCGTCTGCGGTTGGGAAAGGAAGTCAATAAATTCCCCCTTTCCCGGTCCGCAGTTTCCTTGCGACATCACGTCCTCACAGAAAGACACCACCACGTCCCACGGGTCTGTCCACCATCTTCCGCACTAAGGCCGGCAGGGACAGATGGCCTCCTACTTCATTTGTGAGGACACGGCGCTGCTCCACCCAAGCTACACACTTAGCGAGCGTGTGTTGCGCCGTGTCCTCCCCGCAATGGACGCAGTGGTGGCACCGGGCGTCCGGCTCCCTCTCTATGCGGCACATAGGTACTTGCCGAAGCAGCCGTGCCCCGACAGCACCTGCGTCACCCTAAACGACAGGGAGCCGCGTTTTCTTCCGAGCCAGTCGTCGAGTACTGGCCGGATCGCCTCGACGGTGGTAAGGTGGCGGTTCTGGGATAAAAAGCCTACGTGTTATTCCATACTAAAGAGTACACAAAATTAAATTATTTACCTCAAGCACCGCATAAATGGTGACAGGCAGTAGTAAAGCTGTACCTTTTAGAGCTATTTCATACCCAATCTTAAATACTCCCTTCATATCATCAACGATGCTGAAATTAAATGAAACCTTACAAAAATACCTCTAAAAGTGGTTCATAAAATAAATTATAGCTTGACGGGATGTCACCTTTTAATTGAGATTTAATAATTTAAGGTTTATTGTCGCCTAAAAATCACAAATGCTTGCAAAATGGCAACGTTGCGTCACACACTTTTTTATTTGAGTGTAAAAAATATCCAATGACTTCCCCCGCCTTGGGTTAAGCGAGAGGGAGTGTCAGACTCTTACTGACTAAAAACTATGCTCATTTGCTCAATCAAGATGTCTTAAATATAGAGGTAAATTACAAAACGAGTACTTGTAAATGTACTGCTGCTTAATAATGATGTCCTTCAGTTTCATCCGAATCTTTTCAGGATCACGCTCCGAAAACAGATCGTCAATCCGGTTCTTGATCAGCTCAAGTTGCCCACTCGCATGCAGCATAAATATTGGGCCCAGTGGCACGTACGCAACGTAGTTCATACACGAGTAACAAGCAAAGAAAAACATTAAAAAATAAATACTCAAATACACAGGGAGATTATCATTCTTCCGTTCTTCAATAAACTCTGGGTATTTAATATCGTAAAAGGGAACATATCGGAAATCATTAATTAAACAGTAATACAACATAAGTCCCGTACTTTTTACAAGAAATGTCAAAACAGCTGATATGGTCAGAACGAACCATTGCCAGCAAACCTTTACACCTAGATTCGCGTATTTGTACATAAACTGCCTTTCCTTATCAGGCAAGTTTTGCAACTGCTCATAGTCAGCATTTATGTTTTTAATCAATACCACGAGAGTATCCTGATGGGTCAGTAAGATGCAGTACTGGAATGTTATCACAAAAGTTACAATACCCATTACGCCGTTTTTGCAAATTTTAATAAAGTTGTTCTCTTTAAAATCGTGATAGACAATATTGTACATAAACATTAGGAATCCTAAAATAAATGTCCCGTGGAGTACTGTAAATTTTAGGGCCCATTTTAAATCTCTGCGTACGCTGGGATGAGACCCACTGATATGCAATGCCGTCGTTGTAATTTTGAAAATGTTATCAAAGTCCAAATCCTTTTGGTTCGTCATTTTTAGAATTGGTGTCTTCTTCGTCTGAGAGTTAATTTAAAAATGAGTTTCAAGCTTTGTGAAATAATGAGAAGTGTTATTTAAGTTCCAGTCTGTTGGAAATATTATTCATTTCGAACATCCACTTTTTTGCAGTTTCTTTATGAAGCCTATAGACAAATTACAAACTACGATTTTCTTTCTCTGGAGAGAGTACCTACCAGCTTAGGCTCTTATATCGTTAGACAAAGACAAACAAAAAATATATGTTCCGACCAGAAACAGATCCGAGCGTACGGCGCGTCGCGTTCCACGCGCGCCTCAAAGAGCCATCAGACCACCACAGATCGGCCCAACAGGGCCGATGCCGATTCGGAGTCGCGGAGAACCTATACCGGGGCTCCGGCTCGACGTGGAGGAGAAGGAACGGGGTGGTTTTTAGTCAGTAAGAGTCTGACACTCCCTCCCACCTCACCCAGGCGGGAGAAGTAATTCAATGATTTTCCCTCAATAAAAAAACGTATCAACTTTTTGCTTCGCCTTATTAGTTGACCTAACAATTGATATCTATTATTATATGCAAGTAATTACTCTACCTTAGTATTAATTGTTTAATTAGTACGTAGTCTAGTTAATTGATAAAATGATTTGCAATAAAATTAATTGCTTTTCTTGTTCTCGATGTCATGTGTTACACTTCAGTAGTTATTACCAACCTTAGTTTATAATAAAACTAGCGACCCGCCCCGGCTTCGCACGAGTGCAATACTTATGTAAAAACTACAAAATGTCCTTATACACCACGTTCGTCGCGGAGAACCTAACGGGTAACCGGGGCTCCGGCTCGACGTGCAGGAGAAGGAACGGGGTGGTTTTTAGTCAGTAAGAGTCTGACACTCCCTTCCGCCTCACCCAGGCGGGAGCAGTCATTCGATGATTTTCCCCCCTTAAAAAATACACCACGTTCACAGATATTTTGTCATTAGACAATACAAACATGTTTTATATTGATATTTTCCTCGCTAGAGAGCTCCGATAAACGCGTGCGGTCGTTGCAAGTCATGAAGTGCTCTAGGACGAAACGCGGCCATGAACGCCGCAACAAATACGTCCCTACATTTTAAATTTGCTTGCAACATGCTGTAATTATGCTATAATATGCTCTATTATAAATGCACAATATATTTAAAGTACTTAATTGGATAAGGATTAATGCTCTATTGTTTGAAATCACTTCGTAAATAACCTTTGATAGTAAAGGTTAAAAAATGGTTATGGTGGGTTATCCCTTATAGATAGACATATACCATTGCGGACTTTTTTCTTGAACTTTTTAAGGTCAATACTGTAGGTAGTTCATTATTTTTGTCTATCGCGTAGGGTACAGCCAGCGTTTGCAATGGTTTGCAATATAAGCGCAAAAAAACGTGCTGATTTACGACATCACATTAGAAACCTCTAAATTTATCAGTGTTTCTCTACTATATTATGCATGTATTATACATATAAATCTCCCTTAAAAAGCACTCTATCTATTAAAAAAAACCACATCAAAATCCGTTGCGTAGTTTCAAAGATTTAAGCATACAAAGGGACATAGGGACAGAGAAAACGACTTTGTTTTATAGTATGTAGTGATTCTAGAATTTCTTTTACATTATAATCCTAAAATTCTTAATCCCCAAAAGGCCGGTAACGTGCTTTTAACGCCACTGGTGTTCCGGGTGTCCACGGGAGACACCGATGGCGTACCATCAGGTTATTCGTCTGCTCGTTTACCGGTTTATGCCGTAAAGAGCATCGAGGCAGATATTTTTGATAAATTGCAAGAATAATGGCTAAAGATGATTTATTTACAACAATTACACAGCAAATTGGCTGAAATTCAGAATATTTCATACGAGTAACTACAATAGTCGTTTTTCTCAATTACTTCTGTCATTTCAGAACGCCTGATTTAAATAAATAATTTATCGGACGACCGGATACATTGTTTTTGTTTAGTATTAATATCGTATATTGTCTATCTATTAATATCGTATATATCGTTTCATACCTATTAATATCGTATATATCGTTTTCTAATATATTATAACATAACATCACGACTTTTATCCCCGAAGGGGTAGGCAGAGGTGCACATTATGCCACTGTACAATGTAACACCCACTTTACACTATTTATGTAATAGGGGGTGAGCCTATTGCCATATACCGGGCACAAACCCAGACTCCGTGCTACTAATGAGATTTTTTTAAAAACCCAGTAATACTTTGCCCGACCCGGGAATCCAACCCGAGACCCCTTGCCCGGCAGTCGCAGTTGCGACTACTCGGCCAACGAGGCAGTCTAAAGCAGTTCTAATATATTTTCTTCTCAATATTATCTAGTTTATTAGTCACTAGCTGTTTCCCGCGAGTTTGTCCGCGTATAATAATGCCTTTTGGCAAAAGTTCGGTTTTTGAATTAGTTTTTTGTATTACTTTTATATTTACAGTACTATTGCACATTTTTAGATGAACAAGTAACTATTATAGCATAACTGGAATAGTTAGACATATGATATCACAAACAGTAACGTTGGTTGATATTAATGTCCTCTATCAGACTCTTGTACATCACTTTGCTCTATTGTCTATAATTTCCACAGCGTAAGCAATATAAGGAGGGTTTCGGTAGTTTTTTCGGAAGTTCAAGATAACAATCAAACAAGCGGGGCAAGCTAAGTAAAATCGTTTAATAAATATTATTTGAAAGAACATTAAGCTAAAATTATACATAACATAACATCACGTCTGTTCCTGAAGAGGTAGGCAGAGGTGCACATTACAGCACCTAATGCCACTGTACAATGTAACACCCACTTTTTACTATTTATGTTATAAGACGCATGTCGCATGGGGGTGAGCTTATTGCCATATACAGGGCACAATTCCAGAGTCCGTGCTACTACTGTTAATTTTAAAATCACATAACCATAATATAACAATTTTAAAACAACCTGGAATATGTAAAACTATAGTATAGTACAGCGTTTCCCAGCCTTTTCAGCCCACAGACCCTTTGGAAATCAAGAATCCTGTTAATCCTGTTAATAGAGCCGACTGTAAACCGACACATGCGTACTGCCTTCAGAACGGGTCCGCTCAAACTGTTGTGGTTATTTCCTCAAAAGGCCACTACAGAAAGAACTTGCACGGTTCTCACACATAATCTATTATACATATTGTCTGGACTTTAAAAGAGACAGACCTCTGAGTTTGTTTCGGCATTTCTTCTCAGAGTAGTCAGTTAGGAAATGTCGACCTCATCGTTCGCTTGATAAAATTGACGTGTAAAAGTGCTGCCTTGTAGCCTATTTGCAGAAATAAATTCACTTGTTTCACTTGTCACTTGTCACTTGTTTCACAAGACCAGTTTTCACGGACCCCCGTACTAAAGTAGCAAAAATAAAAAAACGAATTGTAACTGTTTATTAATATGAAAGATATGAAAAAAACAAACAAATTAATGTGAAGGTTAGTGTTGCATTTTTGCAACTAAATCAGGGATATTCGGGTTGATGTCACTACTGCTTAGTAATAGTCTATAATCTCAAATCAGATTCTATTTTGTTAGCTGTTTTTGCGGCCCTTTTGCATTTAATGAGCGATTTATGTGTGGTCCAGAGATGACACCGCGGACCCTATACTTATACTCACGGCTCCCCAGGGGACCTCGGACCACAGGTTGGGAAACGATGCTATAGTAAGTACTTAAAACATTAATTTAAGTATTAAGTTAAAATATATATGGCAGATACATAAAGAAATTAACAATTTAAATTTGATTAAAATATCACTAAAAACTGAAATATATTATATACTAGCTTTTACCCGCGGCTTCGCTCGCGTTACAAAAGGATAAAAAGTAGCCTATGTGATTATCCATCCGTTCAACTACCTTCAGTTAAAAAATCACGTTAATTAGTACCTCCGTTCTTCCGCTCGCGTGGAATTCGGTTATATCGCGCTATTTAGATTTTTCCAATAAGTAGGTAATTCGTTGACTGGTTTTAAATGACATACAACGCTATCTATACCAGTACATACAGCGCCATCTACACCAATATTTTTGTTTTTCCTAGGAAACATCAATTTTTTGCGGCATAAAAAGCACCCTATTACTTAATCCAGACTTCTAACTTTACGTCTGCAAAATTTCAAAGCAATCGGTCTAGTAGTTACGGCGTGAAGGCGGAACAAACAAACAAACTCACTATCCGATTTATAATATAAGTAATAAGTAATATATTATATATTATACACTTTAAAATTTAAATTTAAAAGCAACATTGTACTAATAATGTTTTTATTTATATTTGATGGGGCGACGTTTGACCACTATCTCGCCTGGTGGTAAGCGATGATACGGTCTACGATGTCGTCCCATAAGCAACCTATTCACTCGGGCCTTGGGTATAACCTTCGTATGGGTGGCTTCAGGAAATACAGATGATGATGTAAATAATGTCATGCAAGCTAAACGTGTACAAAGTTTCAGTTAAGTATGTGAAGATATATCTGTGTTTGTTTTAAAACTTTCGTGAGATGTACGAAATTAAGTTACGTAAGTGAGCCGAAAACACAAAAATTAAGATATATCAAGATTCCATTTCACACTCATACGTTCATACACTGCAATTTACATTAAAATTGTGTAATTCAAGAAGCTAATCAATTCTTATGAGCCCCTAAATCTATTTTAACTCCACATGGCATTCATCAGGTTGAAGATACCATAAGACTGTTGAAACAACTGAAACAAAAGTTGAATGTTAGTAGAGTATTTGTCGCCCTTTTTATAGCCTAAGGGATAGGCAGAGGTGAATAAAATGTTCATACACTTTTCACAAGTTATTAAATAAGATAAAGCAAAAGTCAAAGTCAAAGTATTTATTTCAATTAATCCTTAATTAAGCACTTTTGAAACCTCAAATTGAATTGTCCGTCCGTCTGTCTGTCAGTGAAGCTAGGCGCTCGTTTCAAAGTGTAGTTTTGAATGGAGAAGAACCAAAAAGATACTCCATCGTTATTTTGAAATAAAAATATTTTACAGTCTTATTGATACATTTACCCAATGTACAGTCAAAGGTCAAAAGTCCACTGCCACCGTGAGTGATGTTCACACGGCAATGCGTAAGTAATTTCATATTAATGTGCATAAAAACGTGTGCATACGCATAAACACACGCACACGGATAAAAATATGCGTGTGCGTGTGTGTATAAACGCTGCAGCGCAACCGATAGTAGACTAACGGTGGCCGTGGACTTTGGACCTTTGACCGTATATATATGTGAGAACGATCCACACGACAATACAACGTCATTTAAAGGGGCTACGGAATCAACTTCTAAAATATAATAAAACCTATAAATTGTTTTAAACATGGTGCCCACACATGGTGCACTTATAATTTGAAATAATAATAAAAATCTTTGATGAATTCTTTCAAATAAAAACAAAAAGAAATTTTCGATGCCATTCGATGACATCTGAACAAATGAAAAAATGAAATTATACCAACAATTCGTTAACTTCACTGATAGTCATATTAAACAAAGAATATTACATGCAATTAGAGCAAGTGAAGGTTAGGTCATCTGCCCACGTTATTTGACGAATGCATACATCCTTCACAAACTCTGTCCTTCCCGAACAATAGGCGGCCTACAAATGACAAATGCAACTTTAAATACGCCTATCGATTTTGACGACCGCATGCATTAGTCAATGATACGCTTTAGATTTTTATAAGCACTTAGGGAATACACGTTAAACACCCATTGCTAATACGGTGATAGACATAATCATGTAGGTACTTACGTCAGTTAGGGCATCCAAGCATAAAGTTCTGAATAAAGTCTGTATAGCAATAGGTCTGAGTGCCCGTAGCAGCATCAACTGCAGCGTGGTGCGCGTGCGCCGATCGTAATGCTGCTCCCACCCACACATGTACAAGGACAAGCGTACAGCTTCGCCCTGTATTATAAAGATACAGATTATTTAGATACTACTGACGTAACGTGAAGAAAAAACCCAGAATCGTGAGTGTTATATTTATTGCCATGATTAGTGAGTGTTATATCGAATGTGTACTCACCCTTTCGTTTCACCAAAAGTTTGTTATTACGAAGTCAAATGTCTCCTTACCTTCTCCATAAGCAAGTCGCTGTAGTAGCACGGAACCGCACTTATCACTATCCCTCCTGCTATAAAACTTATGAACTCCATGCTTATTTCTCCGTTTTTGGCAGCCTGTAAATATTATTCAATGACGTCACTTTTTGCTGGGATGTTACAGTGGCTATGCAACAAGGTGCTGCGTATATAGATCGAAGTGAACTCGATCGCGATCCACTATGTCATTGTCTTTATAAAAACTATCGTAAAAGTCGCGTGAATATACTGAGAAAAGTTCTACTAGTTTTGTGCCACAGAGGGGCTCAAAGTTGGGCAGCGGTCGCGGAGATGTCGCCCGCTGCTCATGAGAAAGATTGTCATTGATTGTGAGAATAATTTCGACCAATGTCGGGCGAGAATGCGATCGAGCTCACTTTGAAATTTCGAATTGACGTTACATAATAGCCTAGCGGGTTTTTGTGTGATCCACAAATTGTTATTTCGGGACTGGATGTGAAGTAACTATAGAAGAATTCTTGTTTGTAAAAGCACTCACGACGAGGAGAAAAACATAGAACATAATCCCGATGGCAGTTCTGGGATAAAAAGCCTACATGTTATTTTAGACTGAAGAATACATAAAATTTAATTATTTACCTCAAGCACTGCATAAAAGGTGACAGGCAGTAGTACGGCTGTACCTTTCAGAGATACTTCGTACCCAAACCTAAATATTGTCTTCATATCATCAACGATGCTGAAATTAAATGAAACCTTACAAAATTTACCTCTAACAGTGGTTTATAGAATCATTGCTTGACAGGATGTCACCTTTAAATTGAGCTTTGAAAATTTAAGGTTTATTGTCTAGTTTATTTGACGAATGCATGCCACTTGCAAATGACAAAAGGTGGCCTAAAAATCACAAATGCTTGCGAAGCGGCAACGTTGCGTCACTCACTTGCCATACAAATCCATAAAACGTCATTTTGTAGGTTGCGTGCATTCGTCAAATGACGCGTTGTGGACAGTAGGCCTGAGTAAGGAAAGAGTTTTGAAGTACTTTCCAATCGAGCCGGGAAAATCATGTGTACCACAGTTATAGATACCTTTATCGATTGACGGGGGGAAAACGTCAAAAGGCGCCTAGCTTTTTGAGGAGAAACACTAGGGAGTGTGAGATTTTTACTTCACTCAACCACCCCAATGACCATCCTCAGCACCTGTATGAGGCACTGGGTTCTCTACAATAAACCTACTCCGGAGCCCCCACGGTGCAACGCCTGTTACGGGCTTGCGGCTCAAGGGAGACGGGTGTCTCAGGATATGGAAGTATAATTATACCAAGTTTAATTGTAATCAGACCGGTAGTTTTTGCGTGATGCGTGAAAATACAGACAGACAGACAAAATATTTTTGAGATCTCTGTGAATGATAACTAACTCTGTGTAGTGTAACTCTAAATTATAGAAGAAATAAAAATATAAAATCACAACAGCTATAATTAGAGGCGGATTGAACCTAGACAGCACCCTAGGCAAGCACCTCATGGGGTGCGGTGCCTGAAGATCTCCCCTGCATCTCTCTCTCCCCAGAAGATCCTCCCCTGGTGCACCCTGGGTGCGCCTGATAGTCTCCCTAACAGGGGTGATAGGGTTGGAGTGGCTATTATACAGGCTCTGTGCGAATGCTCACAGCCCGTGCTTCCGAGGGATCGTTTCTCCACCCGTCTCTCTGAGTTTAGCAGAGAGCGTGGCGGAGAGGCAAGGATGGAGCTCGTTGAGCACTCACCCTGCCAACGAGCAGCATCGTGACACAAGCTATCCTCGATTGCAACCGTCGATATCGTAATCCGTAAAGAGATCATGGTCATGTTTTATGACTCCATACGGGACGAGGGTCTTGGCTTGGTCGCCCAGACCGCGAGGAAGATAACCTCTATAAAAAATTCCTCCAATACCAAGTTCTGGTGCGCGGCGAGGGTATGCATGGCTGAGGAGTAGTGTCAGTCGTGAGCGCGGCTAGGGGACCGATGGATGGATAGTTGGGATACAAATTCACACTTACCCAGGTACAGGGGGTACTGCCTGGGTGGACCGAATATTTCCCCCATATTCATGGGGATCAAATGGAGAATGCTAACAAAAAAAAACACCATCGGAGGAGGAGAGTGCGGGTGAGCATAGCCTGCAGAGGCGGTAGATCCATTCTACCGCCCAAATGCCTCTGGTACCCGTGGGGAGACCGTCACGGAAAGTGAGGTGGTGGCCGCTGTGGCCAGGACGGGAGGGTGCCCTGCTGACCAGATCAAGGCGGGCACCATCCGTCCGGACAACTCGGGGCTGCGCACGGTGGTGGTGAGCTGCCCCGTCACAGCGGCCAAGAAGCTGAAGGAGGGCAAAAGGCTCTTGGTGGGATGGGTCTCGGCGCAGGTAAAGCTGCTCGAGACCCGGCCTCTGAGGTGCTACCGTTGTCACGTGGGGGAGCACGTGAGCGCCAAATGCACCTCAGAGGTGGACCGCAGCGACTGTTGCTTCCGCTGCGGTCGGCCCGGTCACAGGCCGGCTCTGCACTGCCCCGCTGCACTGCAACGCATGTGCGGCGGCTGGCAAGCCGGCCAATCACCGGGTCGGGAGCAAGGGCTGCTCCCCTCCTGCCAAACCCAAGGGCAAAGGTAGGCCCTCCGCCCCCTGCCGTTTCCGCCGCCGCCGCCGCCACTGCCGCCGCAGTCGCCGCTGCCGCTACTGAGGAGATCGGAATGGACTGTCAATAATGGCTCCATTCCGCCTCCTCCAGGCGAATATAACCACTGCGCCGCTGCTCAGGATCTCCTGCTCCAGAGCATGGCGCAGTGGTCGATCAATGTCGCCGTGGTCTCCGAGCCGTACTTTGTCCGCCCAGGGATCACTGGGTGGCGGACCTGGACGGCTCGGTGACCATCATCTCGTCGGCCGCCGCCGGTACCCCGACTCTTGAGGCAGCTCAAAGAGGCCGGGGTTGTGTCGCAGCACGGTTCGGAGAGCTCGCTGTGGTGGGCGTGTACTTCTCTCCGAACCGAACTCTCGCCGAGTTCCACAACTCCTTGATGGAGTTGGTCACAGTCGTCGTCGGGTTCCGTTCCCTCCCCGTGCTCGTCCTCGGGGACTTCAATGCCAAAATTTGGCTTGGGGTTCCCGGTTCACCGACGTCCGGGGTAGGATGGTGGAAGACTGGGCCCTTGAGCAGGCCTAGTCGTCTGAACCGGGGTTCTGTCCCTACGTGCGTGCGGATGCAGGGCGAGTCGGTGGTGGACATTTCGTTCGCCAGCCCTGCTCTGTCACCACGTATCGTTGACTGGCGTGTCATGGAGGAGGTGGAGACGTACTCCGACCACCGGTATATCCGGTTCACGTCTCCGCCGAGTCCGCGGATCCGCCGGTCAGACAGGCCCCATGTGGCCCGCGTTGGGCGCTGAAACAGCTGGACCGGGAGCTGCTCCTGGAAGCCGCCATCGTGCAGGCCTGGGTGATACCACCGGTCAGGCCTGCCGACATTGACGATGAGGCCAAGTGGCTCCAGGACGCCATGTCCAGGATCTGTGACGTGGCGATGCCCCGGATCCGGTCGAGGCAACAAAAGCGCCAGGTGTACTGGTGGTCGCAAGAGCTGGCAGCTTACGCAAGGCGTGCACTGCTGCGCGACGCCAGTACACTAGGCACCGCAGGCGCCGTCTCCGTCCTCCAAATGCGGAGGCGAGAGAGGCGGAGTTGTATGAGGGATACAGGGCGGCGAAAGCCGTCCTCAAGGCGGAGATATTGCGGGCCAAGGAGGAGGCCCGCCGGGAGATGCTGGGGACTCTGAATAGAGACCCGTGGGGACGCCCGTACCGCATGGTACGCGACAAGCTCGCGCTTGGGCTCCCCCGCTCACTCAGAGTCTCCGGCCAGAGGTCGTTGAGGAGGTAATTGGCGCCCTGTTCCCCCGCTGTGGAGGGGCTTCACCCCTCCGTATATGACTCCGCCCCCTGCGGTGCCCGACGCGGGCTATAGCGACGACGACGACGACATCGTCCCAGAGGTGACCGAGGCAGAACTGAGAGCGGCGGTGCGCCGGATGGGCGCCAAGAACACCGCCCCAGGACCCGACGGCTTGCATGGCAAAGCATGGGTCCTGGCCTCAGAGGCTCTCAGGCCTCGATTAATCGGTCTCTACAGCGCATGCTTGGAGAGAGGCCAGTTCCCGCTGCTCTGGAAAGCGGGAAAACTGGTCCTCGTGCGGAAGACGGGGCGCCCTGCGGACTCTCCGTCCGCGTACCGGCCCATAGTGCTGCTCGACGAGGTGGGGAAAGTCTTCGAAAGAATCATTTCGAACCGCCTCGTCGCGCACCTGACGGATATTGGGCCGGACCTATCGGACGGCCAGTTCGGCTTCCGCAGAGGGCGCTCCACGGTGGACGCCATCATGCGCGTTAGGGACCGGACGACGGGGACTGCAGTGTCCAGGGGTAAGGTCGTAGTGGCGGTGTCTCTGGACATCGCCAACGCCTTCAACTCCCTGCCCTGGAGCTGCATCTTGGAGGCACTCCGATATCATCGGGTGCCTACCTACCTCCGTCGTGTAATCGAGGCATACCTGACGGACAGGTCCGTCAGCTACCCCGGTCACCGGGGCGAGTGGAACCGGCGAGAGATGTCACGCGGTGTTCCACAGGGTTCGGTTCTGGGGCCGCTCCTGTGGAACATCGGTTATGACTGGGTGCTGCGCACCGACCTCCCGAACGGCGTTAGCATGATATGCTACGCCGACGACACGCTGGTGCTAGCGCACGGGAGGTCGCACCAGGCGGCGGCCGATTTAATGGCGACAGCGGTTGCGACAGTCGTTGAGAGAATCCGGCAGTTGGGACTCGAGGTGGCGCTCCACAAGTCCGAGGCCATGTGTTTTCATGGCCGCGGGAATGCGCCACCTCCTGGTGGGTCTCAAATAATGGCGGGAGGGGTTACCATCGGCGTCGAGACGGCGATGAAGTACCTGGGACTCGTCCTCGACAGTCGATGGAACTTCGTGGAGCACTTCCGACGTTTGGCTCCAAAGTTGGCGAGGGTGGGGGCTGCGTTTAAGCGCATCCTTCCCAACCTCGGGGGGCCAAACGCCTCCTGCCGGAGGTTATACGCCGGGGTCGTGCGGTCCATGGCCCTCTACGGCGCCCCTGTGTGGGCGCCGAACCTGCTGCAGCGGCCCGCTCGGGCGCTGCTTATGGCACAGAGGGTCATGGCGATCCGAATGATCCGCGGATACCGCACGATCTCTGGGGAGTCGGCGAACCTCCTTGCCGGATTACCGCCGTGGGATCTGGAGGCGAAGGTGCTCGCGCGCGTGTATCGCATGCGCGCGGATGCACGTCGCCGGGGTGAAACTCCGCTGCCGCGCCAGATAAGTGCGTGGCGGGATGAGCTCCGGCGCGATCTCATGGCGGAATGGCAGCAACGACTGTCGCAACCGAGGGCTGGGCTCGCTGCCATTGCAGCGGTAAGTCCCCTCTTTGAGGAGTGGCTTGAGAGACGCTACGGCGTCCTCACCTACCGCCTGACGCAGGTCCTCACCGGACATGGAAGTTTCGGGAGGTACCTGTGTCTGATGGGGCGGGAGGAAACGCCCGGGTGTCATCACTGCGAGGACCACCCTGAGGACACGGTGGAACACACTGTTGCGGAATGCCCTGCGTGGGCTGAGCACCGCCGTGCCCTCAGGGAAGTGATCGGCGATGGAGACCTCTCGCGTCCGGGCCTAGTTCAGGCCATGATGCGGAGCGAGGGGGACTGGGATGCCGTCTCCTCCTTTTGCGAAGCAGTCATGCTGGCTAAGGAGGAGGCGGGACGCGCGAGGCAGCGAAGCGCTGCCTCCTCGCAACCCAGCCATCGCGAAGGACACACCGGGCGTCGGGGATCGCGGGACGATCTCCGGCCACCGTAAGCGCGGGCCTGCAGACGGCGAGCATGGGTGGCTCCCCGTCCGACCAGAAACAGACCCGAGCGTACGGCGCGTCGCGTTCCGCGCGCGCCTCAAAGAGCCATCAGACCACCACAGATGGGGCCCAATAGGGCCGATGCCGATTCGGAGTCGCGGAGAACCTAACGGGTAACCGGGGCTCCGGCTCGACGTGCAGGAGAAGGAACGGGGTGGTTTTTAGTCAGTAAGAGTCTGACACTCCCTTCCGCCTCACCCAGGCGGGAGCAGTCATTCGATGATTTTCCCCCCTTAAAAAAAAAAAAAAAAAAAAAAAAAAAACCCGTGGGGAGACGCTAGACACGTCTAGCAGTCCCAACATTCTTCTAGTCATCAACAACTTCTAGTCATCAGATCACCATACACACGCCTGTCCATTTCTACTCCTACACTGAAAACTCATGAATACTCGTGCTTTCATAACCATATGTTAAACTGTAACTGCAAACCTACTGAAGCTCTTAATTCTGTTGAGTATCTTGGTGTCAAAATAAATGAAAGTTTTTTGTGGTCTTGTCATATATATTACTAGCGACCCGCCCCGGCTTCGCACGGGTGTAATATGCATGTGTTATATACGTATAAACCTTCCATAAGAATTACTCTATCTATTAAAAAACCGCATCAAAATCTATCTATAAAAAAGAATCATCGAAGGCGCCGGAGGCGCCTCCCCCGATGATCCCAACGACCAACTCGGAATAGGGGCAGTTTTTCCCCCCTTAAAGAAAAAAACGCAAGCACCTCATAGGCGCCCCGATTTGTTTTTGCGCCGAATTTACGCCGCAGACACCCGTAGCATCTCGCAGCGAGCCTCTGTTACCTGGCGCCCTTGGCACTTGCTTGTTTGCCCTAGGGATAATACGGCTCTGGGTGTAACTAATTAATCAACTATGCTCATTTGCTCAATCAATATGATCTCAAATATAAATTACAAAACGAGTACCTGTAAATGTACTGCAGCTTCATAACAACGTCCTTCAGTTTCTCCCGAATCTTTTCAGGATTAGAATCCGAAAACAGATCGTCAATCCGGTTCTTGACCACCTCAAGTAGTCCACTTGCATGCAGCATAAATACTGGACCCAGTGGCACGTACGCAACGTAAATCAAAACCGAATAAAGGGCAAAGTAAAACATTAAACAATAAGTAATCAAAAACACAGAGAAATTTTCATTCTTCCGTTCTTCAATGAACTCTGGGTACTTAATATCGTAATAGGGAATATATTTGATATCATTAATTAAATAGTAATAGCACATAAATCCCACACTTTTTATAAGGAATATCAAGCAAGTTACTAAAACCAGAACGAACCAATGCCGGCAAACTTTTGCACCTAGATTCATATATTTGTCCATCAACTGCTTTTCCTTATCAGACAAGTTCTGCATCTGCTCATAGTCAGAATTTATATTTTTAATCAATAACACGAGGTTATCCTGATGGATCAGTAAGACGCAGTACTGGAGTGATGTCACACAGAATAAAACAAATACTACGCAGTCTTTGCAAATTTGAACGAAGTTTTGTTCTTTTAAATCGTGGTAGATGATGCTGTATATAACTGTTACGAATCCTAAAGCAAATGTCCCGTGGAGTATTGTAAATTTTAGGGCCCATTTTAAATCTTTGGGTACGCTGGGATGAGACCCACTGATATGCAATGCCGTCGTTGTAATTTTGAAAATGTTTTCAAAGTCCAAGTCCTTTTGGTTCGTCATTTTTTTTTTCAAATTTGTGTCTGCTTTGTCTGAGAGTTGATTTAAAAATGAGTTTCAAACTTTGTGAAATAATGAGAAGTGTTATTTAAGTTCCAGTCTATTGGAAATATTATTCATTTCGAACATCCACTTTTTTGCAGTTTCTTTATGAAGCCTATAGACAAATTACAAAATACGATTTTTTTCTCTGGAGAGAGTACCTAACGGCTTATCATCATCTTCATCATCAACAGTCCCTGATAATCTACGGACTATGAGCTTTCTATAAATAAAGGAGGGTTGCCATAATTTCCACGCTTGGCAGAGGAGTTGAATGTCGTAGTGTTAAACGTTGATAATTCTATTATAAAATACTAGCTTTTACACACGGCTTCGCTCGCGTCGCAAAAGGATGAAAGGAGCCTATGTGACATACTCACAGCGCCATCTATACCAATAATTTCGTTTTCCCTTGGGAATTTTAAATTTTTCCGGGATAAATCGTACCTTATTATTTAATCCAGACTTCTAACTTTACGCCTGCAAAAATTCAAAGCAATCGGTTTAGTAGTTACGGCGTGAAAGCGGAACAAACAAATAAACAAACAAACTCACTTTCTGATTTATAATATTATATAGTAAGGATTTAAATAAACGACTTCAACCGTCCCTTTTCAGAATTTGGTTACAGTAGCTTAATTTATAATTATTACATTTTCCGCTTACTCACGTACCTAACTGTTTGATAGCGATCTCGACTAGTCATAAGCCGTCAAAAATTTAATTATCCGTCACTGAAGCTAGGCGTTGTTAGACATTGTACCTGACTACCTAAATATTTAGAAAGAAAGAAAGAAAAAACATTTATTCAGCACCAGGCACGATGCAGCATAAGTAACATATAAAAGACAATAAAGGTGTGACAGTGGAAGTAAGATAAACATTGAGTTAAAAAACTAAAACAGGAGACTTAGAAAAAGACGCTGACAACATGGCTATGCTAAATGGGTTACCCACTCAGTGTAAGCTAGGCATACGAGTCACCCAGCACTGATTTTCAGTGGACACCCCTGCAGTGACGCACGGATGGTAGCAACATTTTATCGTTAGACAAAGACAAACAAAAAAATGTATGCATATATATAAATATATCTTTATATATATAATTCTTCTGTGAGTGTGTATGTCACTGAACTTCTCTCAAATGACTTGACCAATTTTGATGAAATTTATGTGTGTGTTCAAGGAGATCTGGGAATGGTTTAGATTCACAAATCAGCTCGACAGATGGCACTGCAATCGATGTTTAGGTTATATATCCTAAACAGCTGAAGTAATTTGAATGATTTTTTGTTTATACATTCAAGTGGATATGCAGGACAACGTCTGTTAGGTCCGCTAATATATCTATATAATAAGTATAAAGGTGCAACAATGGAATACATATCAATAGAATAAATGTAAAAAGTATTATAAAATAACTCAGGGCATCTTTTTCCATTCCGTCTTCCCCTTAAAACTAATAGTTGTTTTCACTTAGTAATCAGTCTATCTGCTAATTTACTGTGAACTTTCTCCTTTGTTATTACGATGTTGCTTTAAAATTATCGAAATCACCTTTGAAGTCGTGCAATTTCATAATTAGCTCACTTCAACTTTTCTACAATAAGATACGTAGGTACCAAACAATATTAAATAGTAAAGTTAATAGTATTTTTTATAAGAATTTTCCTACGCTTATGTTTTCAAAGCACCTTTTTGCTAGTTATAATTATGCTGACGCCAAACACGTGTGCTCTTATTTGTCCAGATTGTGAGAAACTGACATTTTATACTAATTTGTCCGGGGCCAAACAAACGCGCATCTCTGGCACTGGCATTATGGTATAAAATTCTTTGTAGTATCATGGAGTTTAGATGTGTCACTTCATCGCAGAAGGGCCTATTTCTTTTTAAATTATATATACCTATGTTAAAAGTAGCTGTACTAATTAGGAACCCTAAATTCTTTGTTATTATATGGGAGAGCCATACTTCGGCACGAATGGGCCGGCTCGACAGGAGTGACTCGACGGCCTCATAGAAAACCGGCGTGAAACAACGCTTGCGTTGTATTTCTTCGTGTAAGTGAACCTAAGAACCTAACGGGTAACCGGGGCTCCGGCTCGACGTGCAGGAGAAGGAACGGGGTGGTTTTTAGTCAGTAAGAGTCTGACACTCCCTCCCGCCTCACCCAGACGGTAGCAGATATTCGATGATTTTCCCCGATAACAAAAAAATCGCCCCCTCCCCAATCCCTAACAATCCTAAAATTCTTAATACTGCACTTGTAACGCCACTGGTGTTGTGGGTGTCCACGGGCGATACCGATTGCTTACCATCAGGTTATTCGTCTGCTCGTTTACCGGTTTATACCATAAAAAAATTATCTATCCAACAGGACCAGTAGTTCTTGCAATTAGCGTGTTTAAACAAACTGTTCTGCTTTATAATAAGTACTAGCTTTTACCCGCGGTTTCGCTCGCGACACAAAAGGATAAAAAGTAGCCTATGTGACATATACCAATACACACAGCGCCATCTATACCAATAATTTCGTTTTCCCTCAAGAATATCAAATTTTTCCGGGATAAAAAGTACCCTATTATTTAATCCAGACTTCTAACTTTACGTCTGCAAAAATTCAAAGCAATCGGTTTAGTTGTTACGGCGTGAAAGCAGAACAAACAAACAAACAAACTCACTTTCCGATTTATAATATTAGTAAGGATTACAAAGACAAACAGAATGACGTCACCAGTCAAAACATTGTAATATAAAAATAATTCGCTTCACAAAAACAAGAATATAACTCGTCGAGGCAGATATTTTTGATAAATAGCAAGAATAATGGTTAAAGATGATTTATTTACAACAATTACACAGCAAATTGGCTGAAATTCAGAATATTTCATACGAGTACAATAGTCGTTTTTCTCAATTACTTCTGTCATTTCAAAACGTCTGATTTAAAGAAATAATTTATCGGACGACCGGACACATTGTTTTTGTTTGATATTGTATATTGTCGGATGCGTTTTCTAATATATTTTCTTCATAATATTATTGCTTATCTAGTTTATTAGTCACTAGCTGGTTCCCGCGAGTTCGTCCGCGTATAATAATGGCTTCTGGCAAAAGTTGGGTTTTTGGGTTAGTTTTTTGTATTACTTTTGTATTTGTAAGTGTGGGAGAGCCATGCTTCGGCACGAATGGGCCAACTCGACCGGAGTGATACCAGGGCCTCACAGAAAACCGACGTAAAGCAACGCTTGCGTTGTGTTTCGTCGTGTTCACTCACACCGTTACCGGAGGCCCAATTACCCTTCCTCCCAATGATCCTCAAACTCCTAATCCCCAAAAGGCCGGTAACGCACTTGGAACGCCTCTGGTGTTCCAGGTGTCCATGGGCAACGCCGATTGCTTACCATCAGGTGATCCGTCTGTTCGTTTACCGGCTTATGCCATAAAAAAGAGAGGGCAACAACGCGGTAAATCAAAGCGGCGCGAGGAGCATAGCGATGAGCAGTGCAAGGAGCTTAGTCTGGCAGGCGCTTCTGGGATAGATTCTAGTCTAGAATTACACATGGACTACTTTTTATCGAACGGGATTGCTGGTGAATCTGCTAGCGAGCAGAAGCTAGTAATATAAATCTATAGTTTTTAGTCAAATTTCCGTAATGCTTGGCGACTGGGCTTCACCCAGTTGTACAGTCTCTTCTTTGTGCCTTTAGGCTTAATTCATTCTGTCTCCTGCAGTAATTCACCGAGGGAAGTGGAAACTATAGTTTTTTCTTCTTCTCCTCTGATAATATCTTCTGATTCACTTCGTTGCGGGAACCAAGATAGTTACTCATGTCCCTGGGACGCGCCGGACTTCTATGTTCCGGTGTTTTCATGGTTGTATCTACTGTAGATCCTAGCTTACAGGAGTTGCAGCGGTTTTGGGAGGTTGTGGCAGGCTTGTACCATTAAAAAAAATATATAAACTCCTTTCGTAACTCTTCGAATATAAAAAACTCAAAAACGACGATTTTTATTCAATTTTTACCAATACTATGAGAAGTATGCGTGGACTAAAATTTAGTGATCTAGTGAAAAATAGTGTTAATGCAGAAAAGTGTGGATTGAAAGATGATCTAGTGACAAGGATTGAAAAGGGAATGTTACGCTGGTTTGGACATGTAGAAAGGATGGATGAAAGTAGAGTAACGAAAGAAAGAGTATACAGCGCGGATATGAATATGGCCGTCGGTAGAGGGCGCCCTAGACGGACATATAGTGACCAGATTGGCGATATATTAAAGAAGGGCCAAATTAAAACTACCCTTAACCCACGAGCATGCATGAAAAGATTGATGACTGTTGATAAATCGAAAGAGGTATGTAGGAATCGTAGTAATTGGCGTTCCCTAGTCTCTGCCTACCCCCATGGGAGACAGACGTAAAGTTATGTATGTATGTTTTACCAATATAGTCAGCGTAATTCCTGATGAATATTAGAGGTGTATGATTTACTATGGTTTAGACCATGCGGGAGAAACCACGAGTGGAAAACTATTTAAAAATCTTAGGAGACATCGATACTTTCCTTTTATCTCGTATCAGTTTGTCAGCTAATATCTCTTAATTTTTCTTTTTTAAGCAGAAATCTGATAGTCTTGTACCGTACTCACTATTATTGCGAGCGTTTACGAATTTTCATCATAGACCGTTTTATTTTTAGTTTAGTGAATATATTCGACATAGCACCATGCTTTGTGTGAAGTGTAAGACGCTTGCTTAGTGCTCCTGTATCGTAGTTCTTAGTGCTTTTATTTGTGACCTGTTTTCCGACCTAGTTTTGTGTAGGTAAGTGTTAAATGTAATGTTTTTTTTTGTTAGTGGATAGAAAACAGATGGCTTCGGTTGTGCTATTTAATTCTATGATAAAAGTTACGCCAAGTGTGTGAGAACAGAAAACAAAATGTTTTATGAATTTA